AACCACCGCGCTGCAGGTGCGGAGTGCCGCGGCAGCCCCCGCTAGGCGGGCCGGGACGGCGGAGAGCTTCACACCCCGCTTACCTGGCGGAGCCTCTCATTGGCTGCCTTTCGCACCGCCCTCACTGTTTCATTGGCCGGTCCCTCCGCCCCCTCACGTTCTATTGGTCCGCGCCTGATACCTGGAGGGGAGAGAGGAGCGGCTCCCACCTCCCCCTCATTTCCTCACCGCGCGCTCTCATTGGTGAATCACGCGGCGTGCTAAGCCCGCCTATTGGCTACTCCGCCGGCCGCTCACTTCGATTGGTCGGCGGTCGGGCGGCACCCCGCCCCCCCGGGAGGCTGAGCGGTGCGTTCGGGCCGGAGAGTTGTCGGCGGAGCGGAGTTGGGGGTTGCCGCCGCTCGGCAGCGCGGAGGCGGTTCGCGGTGTCTCGGCTTCTGCCGACCGGGGCGCGGGGATGGCTGCGTCTGGAGGGCCACGCTGAGCCGAGCGATCCCGCGGGGGCCATGCCACTGGCCGCCGCGGGAGGGGAGCCGGGCGGGACGGCCGCCCCGCCAGCGCCCGGCAGTGCCTGAGCCCGCGCCGTGCCCCGCGCGTCGCCATGGACGAGCGCTTCAACAGGTGGCTGCTGCCGCCGCTGCTGGCGCTGCTCTTCCTGCTCATCGTCTACCAGTACGTGTCGCCCGCCTGCCCCGGCGCCGCCTGCCCCCGCCGCCCGCCCGTCTCGGCCCCCGCAGCCCGCCGCGAAGAGCAGCCGGCGGAGCGGGACGAAGAGGAGGCGGCGGCCGCCGTGCAGCGGCTGGAGCCCAAGTTCCCGTTTGCGCGGGGGGAGCTGTGCCGGAGGGTGCGCTTCGACATGCGGGGCCGCGACGTGATCGTCTTCCTGCACATCCAGAAGACGGGCGGCACCACCTTCGGGCGGCACCTGGTGCGCAACATCCATCTGGAGCAACCCTGCTACTGCCGCGCCGGGCAGAAGAAGTGCGCCTGCCACCGCCCGGGCGGCGATAAGGACACCTGGCTCTTCTCCCGCTTCTCCACCGGCTGGAGCTGCGGGCTGCACGCCGACTGGACCGAGCTAACCAGCTGCGTGCCCGCCGCCATGGAGCGCCGCGGCTGCGCCGGCAACCGCACGCTCAGGTCAGTGCCGCGCGGCGGGAGCGGCCCGGGGGAGAGAACGGCCTAAAAGCCCCCGAATAAGTCGGCGAGGCTCGCGTTCCTGCGGAGCTGCTAGCTCTGGGTGCCCTCCTTCCCTTTTGCTGCATACCAGACTTTCGTTTCTCTTCAAACTTCTGTTAATCCCCCGCGTGTGCGGCCGCAGCGAAGGGAGCGAAGCGGTGCCCGGCTTTAAGGCAGGCTTCGTGCGGGGGGCCGCGCTGCTGCTCCGTGGATGTGCGGCCTCTCTGTGTATTCTGTCCCGTGCTTCTGTCGGGTCTGGCAACGAGACTTTGAGTTGCAAATGGAGAAATAGTCGAAGGGCAGCTCCACTGGGTACAGAAAATGCAGTGGGTTGCGAGCTTTGCTCTGGTTTATTTATCTTTAAGCTTTCCCAGGTTAATGTGAGAGATCCTGTCTTTACTTGTGCGATAGCTCCTGGACGTGTGTGGTAATGAGGAAACAGAGGTGTTCTCCTGAACTTTTACACTGTTAGCAATGTAACTTCAATATATGTAAAATACTTAAGAAAAATCCTACTTCCACTTGTGTAGTTTTTCAGATAATGATTCATTTTACCACCCGTCTTAATTTTGAGTCTGAAGACTTGGTATTTTCAGAGGCACCGCTGACATATCATTTTATGTGCGGTGTTGCAGAAACGCATGCGGCCCAATGGCATACAGGGGCTTGCTTTCACTGGCCCCATGCGTCAAGAAGGTATCTTCAACTGCTCAGCCGCTGCCGGTTTATTTGATGTGACTGACAGCTGGCCCTCCTGTATTACAAAGCCAGACACATTTGGCATTATTCCAGTTAGCATAACGTAATTATGATTGCTGAGGACTTGGACTGGACTTGCAGGGTACAATTAGGGCAACTCATACCATTTATATATTTAAAAAATTCAGCTTAGGATAAAACTTTAAAACGTGCTAGCAGGAGAAGAACACAGTGAATGTCTTGGAGTACAAATAATTTAGTGGTAACCCTACAGCTTCAAGGAATATTGAGTAGTTGCAGTGTAAATCAGGGAAGGGAGGACAAAGAACAGTGATCACAGCAATATCTGAAAGCATGCAGTCTGTCTCTGGCTTCCTCTCTTCCTCTGCTGTGGAAAATATTAGTAAGTAAATAACCAAGTGTTATTTTGAATCACAACGATAGCAGGTGGGAAGTAAAATTGGTAAAATAGCAGGTCTTGTACTTTAAAATTAAGAAAAAAAAAATGAGGTCAATTTATGACTTTGAGTTGAATTACAAAAGATGATGTGGGAGTTATTCAGTGGATTGTTAGTAATTATTCTGCTTGAAGGAAGACAAGTAGAGGCACCAGCTACAGCTGACAAGTGTTAATTTTTGTTCTTGTTTGGTTAGTGTAGCATCCTGGGTGAACTTTCTGGGAGGAAGTCCTGTAAATAAAGTTGCTCCTTGTATAATATATGCTGTGCTGGCACCTTTTACTTTTTATCTTTGCTTACTCCATATAGTCAGTTAGCGTGACTTCAATATTTTTCAGTGAGTTTTAGAATGAACCCTAAGGTATGGTTTGTCTCTGCTATGAATGCCTTTGCTGCTGGTGAAGTTGGAGTCAAGCCTAAAATACTTTGCTGGAGGACTGTACTATTAGAGGCATGGATTGAAGGCTTTTTAATGTATGAACTGCAAATTGAGGGCAAGGTGTCTGCATGCCTAAACTAAGCAAGAGACCATCATATGAGCCTAAAGAAGAACACAATGATTTAAAAAAAAAAAAAAAAAAAAAAAAAAAAAAAAATTTAAAGTTGTCTTTCAAAGCTTTTGAGGATATTTGAGGCATTAGACTTCTTTGAATATCTTTTTTTTTTCTTCAGTGTTCCAGCTACAGAGTTAGAAAATTAGACTAATTCAGGTAAATATATGATACTGGATTTTCTTTGTGGGGCAGTGGGACAAATCATATTATGTGTTTGATCTCTAGTATAATACACTTGATGCAATGAGGATGTATCTCTAACTTCCTTTTTTCCTTCATAGCAAGGTATAAACTGTTTCAGATCTCAACGTATGTAACATTAACTACAAATATAGATCTGTGTGTTTTGGAAACTTGCTCCTTGCAGTGCTGGTAATAGTAATGTAAGTCAAAAGGAAACAAGTGAGAGCCTCATATAATCTTGTTCGACGTTATCGAGTATTTCATTTGCTGTTTTCTTAAGTCCTATCTTTCAACACAGGTATTTAGAAGAGTTGATTAGAAAAACTGTACTTTGAATTTGTGGGAGTGCGGACTGTGTGGTGGGTAGAGAAGGAATGGAAGATGGCCCTAAGGGTTTCTGAAATATGTGGAGCACTACCTCTCCCTGGATTATTTCTTTTAAAAATACTGCTCATGAAAGAGATTTTAGGCCTGAAATCTCCTTAAGCTGTTGAAGGGAATTCAGTAGACAGCAGCTACCATTGTGAATCAGTGACTTTGAACTCCTTCAAGCCCAAGCACCAACTTTTAATTTTGATGCCAGTGGACTGTTGTATCTGTGACACAGTGATACGATGATACAAAGTGTGTTGTGTCCAGCTTAGGTACTTCAGTGTTGTAGTGGAAATGCTAAGTGATGGCCTGAAACAGTGATTGAGCACCTGGAGAGAAGGCAGGTCCAACCCAGGGGAGCTCAGATGCAAGCAGTGCAGCTGAGTGACTGGAAGTGGTAGACCCAGGATCCACCTCCCAGACCTCATTTAAGGGTTGGCAGTGGGGATGAGGGTATCTCTTGCTGGAGATCCCTCCCTACCTGAGGCCTTCTGAAGGTAAGCTTCTCTTTTCCTTCATGTCTGACTCTGTGGCTGCTGCATTTGGGTTCATTCTCATTTGCTGTAGCCAGAGACTTTGCCACCCCGTTATTATTGTGGTACTTTCCATCCTATTTATAATATTATAAGTGTGAGAAGATGTTTACTGATTGCACACTAGATGCTGTTCTAGTTTCTAGCGCTGAAGTATAGCTTTCACTTTACAGAAATTGCTATTGTGAAGAATATGCAATTGATACAGTTGTAAATTAAATTATTATTTGCAACTGAAAACTAAAGTAATGATTAGCATAATTAAAGCATTGTGACTTCTCTCACAAGGATGTGGTGGTGTTCACGGGGAGGTTTCTACATCAATAACGCTATCCCCACATTTACTTCAGAGGAAATATATTGCTATATCGAGTGTCTGTAACGTGGGTTACTTTCTTTGTCTTTCAAAAATAGCTGTTACAGTGGAAAGTAATCGGTGCAGAACTTTGCAGCAGTGTGGAAAGGTGAGTGACTTTAGGCTGCCTCTTTAGACAGTGGAGAAACACAGCTCTGAAGGATCTTAGGTGTGATGGAGAGGCAGTTCTTCTCAGGGTAATACAACAGAAGGCTGGAATGAGAGTCTAGATATCAAAAACCTGATGAGGAGTGTTCCTTATCCGGGGCTGCAGTTGGCAGTCCAAGATAATTGCCTCTTGGGTTACCAGATAGAATTTGCTGTATGTGGTAGGGATTGCTTTTTCTTTGCACTTTATGTATGGTAGACTAAAAAGGGACCTTAAGACTTCTTATTAAGGCACACTTTCTCAGTTGTTTGTAATATCATTAATAATTACACATTGTCATTTATTATGAGTTTGATTGAAAGAGGAAGGTGACACTTTAAACCACACACTTGAAAGAATACTTCATTGAAACTGTTGTTGTCTAATTTTCTTATGAAACGGTGAAATTAGTCTAATTCTGTAAACCTCATGAGCTTTATTATTAGTACAGTAGAGTCTTCTACAGTATTGATTTTTTTCATTCATTCATTCACTTGCTTATGCTTTCCTATTTGTAGAGTCTTTTAATTCTGTTACTGTGTGGAAGTATAAATCAGCAGTGAACCCACAAGTTACAGAATTGGGAGAGGTAAATAGAAGCCAGCAGATTCATGTTTCTTCTGATGCAGTCGTATTGAGGTGTGTTTTGTTTTTTTTTTTTTAAGGCTCTAACAAGAGCATAAGATGGACTCCTTCCTTTGCAGCCATGGTAACCATGATCATCACAAAAACGTAAGAGTGCTAATTAAAAATTAGGACTATGCTGAAGGTAGTGGGGAGAAGAGAATAAAAAGCTGTACATGATACTAGTATTGAACCTGGAAAAAAGCACAGAAATGCTCTACCACACCTTGGTGTCTTCTACTGAAGTGAATGTTAGAACCAATGAGCCCTTATAGGTTTCTTTTCTTTCCCTTTTTGTAAGTTTAAGGAATAGGAAGGATAAAAACTGCTTTGAGATCCTGCTACTGACGCTGTAGATTTTTTTCCTTGTGTTGGTCACTTCAGAGGAACCTTTGGTAATTCCTTCAGGGGTTTCATTGTCCTTCTTGCTAGAAGGTGGTGCTGTCTTCCCTCCAGTGCTTAATGTGAATCATTTCTGAGGAACACAGAAGAAAAATGGATCCTTTTCTCTTCATTAGCCTACTGGGTGGTTTGGTTCATAGGAAGTCCTCTTTCAGCCTTCCTTTGGCTGAAGAAAAGCCAAGAAAACTTGGCTGTTTTGCAGTTGTCTGATATTGGTTGTTCAGCTTGAAATTTAGATGCTGCTTCTTTTCTCGAAGGCTATTACTTATATTTCCCATCGTCTTTTTATACAACTAATAATTTCCACTTAATTGTAGAGGTTTATGCTCATCCCCACTGGATTTTACTCCTTTTCTGCCAGTTTACTTAATTTGCAAAATTGATCTGAGTTATAATTTGTCTTTAGCTTTACATCGTGGGTTTATTTAAATGTGTTCTGTATTCAGTGGCTGTGTTGTTGATGTAAACATTGAATAGAATTCAATTCCATTGTAATATATGCTCTGCTTAATTTAACTCTGAGAATTGCTTTCCAGGGAGTTCGGGGGGGGGGGGGGGGGGGGGGGGGGGGGGGTGTTTTTTTTTTTTTTTTTTTTTCTTTCTAGAACATTGGTTTTCTTTCTTAAGACACTAACAGGAAATGTCTACTCATACTATTTTAAAGGCATTTCCTTTTACTTTTATGGTATAAATAACTAACAATTCTACCTGGCTTAATTTCTCACGGTGCTTTTCTCCTGTGAGATGATTGCCCTGCATCCCGCCTTCAGGAAAAGCAGGCAATTGATTGATGGGAATAGGAATCTCCAGTGTCAAGGTTGGTGCAGCCCTAGAAAACCTTTGACCTCAAGCCTTGTCTTGAGATCTCTGAAGCTGCTGCAATAAATCTCAGCAGGTTGCTGTGCTTGGGGACTACAAAAATGATGAGAACTCCATGTTTTCTGCTAACTGCTAGTATTTATGAAAGTTGTTAGTACCAATCTAATGAGGAATTCTTTTTTGGCTTCTTGTGGACTAAAATCTAGGGAAGGAAAAAATAGAGTGGAGCTGTCAGTACCTTCTTCAAAGGCTATGCAGTGTTGTAGGATGGTAGTTGGTTTAACTCTTGTATTAAAAAGCGTCTTATTAATTTCTGTTACCAAGCTGCCTGAATTAAAACTTCTAGTATTCTTGATTATTGATACTAAAACTACTTCTTAGTTTCAGGAGTATGTGTTGTTTTGAGGTCCAATGGGAAAAGTTTCTGTGTAATGTCATTCTGCTGGTAGAGATTAAATCTGTAGACACAGTCATTGGCAACGATAGGGATAAAATTTACTTACTTCGATTTTTCTGAGACTGCTTTGAGGAGGAGGGGGGGGGGGGGGTGGTCTGCCACCTTAGCTCTAGTGATCACAAAAAGCTAAACGAAAAGGGTAAAGAACCATTTTAACTGAATGATTTCTCCCCTCAGGTGTGCTGGCAGTTTTCATATGTTGCCTTCAAAGAGGAAAGCATTTCCTCTTGGAGCTTGGTGCAGCAGTGATAGTGAATTGAGCTCCAAGCATAAAGGCTTTGCTGCTCTCTGTGCAGCATGAGACCTGATAAGAGCAAGGGAACATGTATTCTTTAAAGTATCTAGCATTCAGTATGCTGCCTGCTCTCTGGAAGTACTTGCAGCCCAAACTTAGACTAATTTCTTGATTAAATGTTAGGCTAAATTGATTGTTTTAATGTTCTGAGTTGCTTTACAAGGTATCTTAAAGTCCTTTCAATGTTCTGTTATTGATGAACAAGGTTTTTAAATTCTGTCAAGGAAGCTGATTGGACGACCTATCTGTACATGACCACTAATAAAAGAGAAAAAGATTAACAAGGAAACCTATCTCAGCTTTGTTCAAGATGTGTGTTGATCTTTTGAAAACATTTCTAGTGTGGCAATGTTGATAATTATTGAAACACCTGTGGTCTCTTCCATGAGCAGTGCTTAGGATCTTGGTAATGACTAAATGGTATGAAGTGTGTTCTTACAGTCCAAGCCCAGAGGGCTGTGGTTGCTCTGCTACTGAAGCAGTTATTTTCTATGCATACATAGCTATTGTGCAAGAATGAAACCTTTTAAGGAACATAGTGAAGAACTGATGAAACAAACCATGATATTCATAATTGACTTGATGCTTTGCTACCTGATTCTGTGAAATAATGTGATATTTCTAGGAAGGGGTGGCATGTAGCTCCAGGTGCTGTTTGGTGCTTTTCAGGATGTTAGAGCACTTGGAGGTGCTGACCTCCCTTCAGAGACCAGTTACATCTGGTAAATAAGTAAACTGGAAACTCAGGAGTGAAAGAAAGAGGCATACTTCACATGTTTCTTTCCTCCAGAATACCCAAGAAGAGGTAAGAAACCTGTTCAATGTAAGCTGGAAAAGTTAGGAAGCATTGCAGAAAATGGTGTGACAGCATATGAGTTAAACTAATAAAGGAACTGGAAACATTAGCTGAATGAAATGCAAATAAACTACCAACTCAGCAAGGATGCAAATTGCTAGTTTGTCATCTGGGTGTGGGAGTAGTTTCTTCCAAGTCCTTTGGCTAAATTGTCAAGAGTTTGATAAATGGTCAACTGTGTGACTATAGGAGCTGAAAAAATACTTCATTCTCTTGAGCAACAATCTTCAATGGTATCACAACAGGAATTAAAAATTATTGCCTTGGAAACGTAAAGTGGGGAGTTCAAGAGTACTCTTGTGAAAGAAACTAAATTTCATTGAATTGAAGGAACTTTTGTGGGAACTTCTAAAAATGAAATCTGGATATATGGTATGTAATAGGCATGTGATATACTTTGCTGAAGTAATCACAAATTTAAAGAAATGTAATAGAATATTTCAGGTTGTAAATTGTGTAAGAAATAGTAGTAGGTAGTATGGAGCTGTTCCTCTGTCAGCTGATCTCTCGTAAAAGCTGAACTCGTGTAGATCAATTCAGATTAAGTGCCTTTAGGAGTTAAATCATTCGAGAAATTGGTTGGATGTTTTCTCCAGAACTAATGAATCATAAAAGCCTCCTAAAGGGAAGGTGTAGACGTCTCAACATAGTGTCACATGTTGACTGTATAAGTGTTGTGCATTGTTATTCAAACTCCACTGAACAAAGGAAGGAATATTCAGTAAAACAAAACACTGTTACTGAGTTGCACATTCTTGTTGAGGAGAAAGAGCCCCTACTTTCTTCAATGGTGGCAGTTGTAAAAGTGGCTTGTGGTGTATCTAACATCCTATTTATGCCAGTTTATCCAAATTGCATCATTCTGATAGTTCAAGAAAGCATCAAGAATTCTCACAGAAACAAAGTATGGGTAGACATATGCAATATATCTCCAGGATGATGGATGGTTTTTTTTTATTGACAGTAATGAATAAATTGTAGATTTACCACACGTGCACTAAAATATAGGATACACAAGCAGTTTAATTTTCAATGTTATGATCATCTTAATCAGTCCTGGGGTTATAATGAATTAAGGTTTGCAAAAGTTTTTTTTTCCCATTCTCATATGAGGTGTAACAGTATTAATGGACAGACCTTGCTGAGTCTTAGACTTCCATTTTTAGAACTTAGGCAAACTTAAATGCATGTGGAATAAAACTTCAGAGGTAGTAATGCAGGAAAAAGAGTGCATTTTTCTTTAACCAAGTAACATATTTCTATTGTTATTCTAGCACTGGCTTTTGTTTAAGTGGCAAATAAACTTATATCTCACTTTGTATATTTTCACACTCAAAAGTAGCTATTTGCAATTCTTGACTTCATTTCCATGTATTTGCATACAGACTACAGCTGAGAATTTGGGGATGAGTGGAATAGCAACTGATTGTGTTGGCTGAGAAATTCCTAAGAGTAGGAGGTGAAGTAAAGAGGAGCATAGGAATCAACTGTGAGCATGAAATAAGGGCTAAGGCTGAAAGATACCAGAGAAGGGCTGAGAGCAGAAATACAGCTACAGTCTTGCAAGGTGAAGAAATAATAGGATATCTTGAGCCTTGTATGTTCTTTCCAACTCTCCAAGTCCAACTTTTGGCTTCACATAGAACTACCTGAAATGCTCATTTTTTTTCAGAATATTTGGGGAAAAAAAAAAAAAGCATAGTAAAACATTGCCACTAACGCTGCACTTAGATGTGCAGCAGGCCAGCTGCCTTAGCAAGGAACAGCTACTGTCTTTACCCTGCTGCACCCTGCTCTCTCCTGTCCTGGGCCAGTAGTCAAATGAGTCTAAAACTGTCTTTGAGTGCCCAGCCCTTCACATCAGGCTCACTGGTTGTGCTGATTCAGGGCCATGACATGGGGAGACAACACTTAGGAAGAAGACACCAATCATTTTATTAGACATAAATGGTATGAACAGCATAAACTGTTTCAGAATCGTAGAATGGCTTGGGTTGGAAAGGACTTCAAGGATCATTAAATTCTAAGCCCTCTGTGACAGTACTAAATCAAATTGCCCAGGGCCCCATCCTTGAGCACCTCCATAGGTGGAATACCCACAACCTCTTTGGGCAGCCTGTTCCAGCACCTCATCACTCTCTCAGTTAAAAAAAAAAAAAAAAACTTCTCCCTAACATCTAATCTAAATCTCCCTTCCTTTAGTTTAAAACCATTCCCTCTTGTCCTTTCATTGTCTTTATACCCATGTATAAAGTTGATTTCCCTCATGTTTATGAACTCCTTTTAAATATTGAAAGGCTGCACTGAAGTTCCTCACAGGCTTCTCTTTCCCACTGGCCTCTTCCCCAGGTCCTCCTTCTTCTCCTTCTTATAAATGGGAGTGATAGTTCCCTTTTTCCAGTCCCTGGGGACTTTGCCTGACAGCCATGTCTGTTTAAATAAGATGGAGAGTAGCTCAGCAACCTCATCCTGGGATGCATGTCATCTGGATCCATGGACTTGTACACTTTCAGTCTCACAAGTAGCTCTCAGACTTGCTCTGCTCTTACAATAGAGTGATGTATGCTCCCCCAGTTCCCACCTAGACAGGTTCAGGGATGCCTGAATCCTTG